TTCGGAAAGTGGTTGTAAGGACAGACTGGCACCTCTGGGGATGTGTAGAAGGGTTAACACAACTCCACATCGAAAATAGCTTTTGCACTATCTCGCCCCCCCCCCCCCCCCGCCTCCAGAATGGTGTAAAATTAGCTTAAACCCAAAGTAGAGATGTGAAGGTTTGCATATCTTTCTCACATTCAAAGAAATTTTTATTACCTATAATACCTGAAGACATCCAGATTGTGAAAGGCATTCTGGACTTCAAGATTAGCCAATTTAAGCCATCCAGATAGTAATACACCATCCATTTTATTTATGTTTGAGTGAAATAAACACACTCAAGTAAGGATTCTTTGATTATTTTGAAAGTTCTTGTTCCATATGTTTGTTACCCAGAATGTTTGTTCTTTTTATTTTTTTTTCCCTTTCCCTCGAACACAAATTAGAGACAAGGCAAGAACTGTTTTTAAATATCTCCTGATCTTACTTCACAGCTGGTTGGGTAGAACAAAGCTGGCTACCCGTAGAGAGACACGTCAATCTACAAATGGACCTATGGGTGGGACATAAAAATATAGCCACGGTTTCCAGAGAAAACAGCCATCCAGGGCCGAAAATGCATTACTAGCCTAGGTTTGTCCAGGGGAGTACATTACAGGAAATACTGTAAAGGGCTACAATTTCACCTGCAACATGGCCCAGTTTTTGTATGCCATGGAAATTGAATTTTTTACAATAAGAGTAACAGAGTGATGGCTTTTTAGTGGCTAAATGCTTCCAACTAGGCAACAATGTATGTCTATATACACTTTAATGTACATACTGTAATTTCAGATATTGATAATACTAATAACAATTAACTGAGAGCTTTCTGTTCTAAGTACTGTGCTAGGGTTTTACATACTGAATCCCCCTGAATTATCATGATAGCTCTGTAAGATCCAATCATTATAAGCTCGTTTTTTATCTAGGAGAATTTTGAGGCTTAGAGATGCCACATGAGATAAAGCCATTCAAATCCAGATTTGTCAAACTAAAATGCCTGTACTCTTTTTTCCTTTCTTTTTCTTTCTTTGTGGTAGTAGGGTTTGAACTCAGGGTCTTGTACTTGCTAGGCAGGAGCTCTATTGCTGAGCCCTGCAATTGGCCCTCTTCTGATAGTTTTATGTTTTAGAGTCTCACTGTGTGTGTGTGTGTGTGTGTGTGTGTGTGTGTGTGTGTGTGTGTGTGTTAAGCCACAGTGCCACTTCTGGTTTTCTGGTGGTTAATTGAAGAATCTCACAAGGACTTTTCTGCTTGGGCTGGCTTTGAAACAGGATTCTCAGATCTCAGCCTGCTGAGTAGCTAGGATTACAGGCATGAGGCACTGGTGCCTGGCTTTCACATTCTACCTGAATGAAAACCTAAACTACAATCTAATCGGTCACAGACATGAAAACAGGCAATAACACTACATCAAAGCTGTTCTTGTTGAGATGGAACTTCAACATTTTTTTCTGCTAGAGCTGGCCTGGAACTGTAATCCTCCCAATCTCAGACCCTTATGTAGCCACGATGAGAGGTGAGTGTTGTGGACATCTGGCTGAAGCCCATACTCTAAACTGCCTTGCTTGAAGCATATTTTGATGATTGTCTACTTTCTAAAGAAATCTTATTTTACCATTTTCAAGCATGTGGTTGTGTAGTTACACAATCATGTGGTGCTGAGAAGATGTCCATGACCAAGCTATCTTTTATATTGGTTTCCAGTGTGACCAATAGCATGGATTGAAAAATATAGGGTTGTAAGTACAGTCAGCCCTTGGAATTAGAGAATAGAATCAGTCCAACTGTCCTCCAAAGAATTCATCTCTGATATGCATGAATTCTTTTAGTGACTTAAGCAAAACATCAGGTCTTTATCATTTCCTAATTCTTCTCCAGCTTAAACTCCTTACGTGTTTTACATCCTTACATCTTTGGATATTCTATGCACATCCCAAGGGTAACTATTTAGAAGAGAGGGGGCACATTGGAAAATGAAAAGGTATTCATAGCTTCATTCCATAGCTAAAACTGTCAATGCCTTTTCTTAATAGCCCAAAACAAATCTTGAGTTTTAGGTGTCTAGAAGAGAGATCTTTCTGAAAGTTGTGTTTAACAAATGCAATGTGAATTCTAGAATTGTAGGGTTAAAAACAATCTGAAAATGTAATCCTCCTATGAGGTGTCCTTATCAGGAGTTAGGGTTGTTTTTTTCTACTCTTGGGGGAGGACAAGAACTAAGATTTTTAAAATTTTTTTGGTTGAGGAGACTTGGGGGAATTTGTGCTCAAATTTGATCCTATCTAGGTTAATTTAAATGGTTTGACCTTTTAAAGTATGTTTCCTTATCTGTAAAGGAACACTAACACAATACCCAGTGTTGTCAAGAGAAATAAGTTAATAAAAGTTTTGCCCACTCTAATGTGCCATTAAGACATAGCTGTTGTTTGGATGCTTTATTGTTATTATTTTTTTGTCAGTCATGGGGCTTGAACTCAGGGCCTGAGTGCTGTCCCTGAGCTTTTTGGCTCAAGACTAGCTCTTTACCACATTGAGCCACAGTGACACTTCTGATTTTTCTGGTGGTTAACTGGAGATAGGAATCTCATGGGCTTTCCTGTTTGGGCTGGCTTCAAACTGTGATGCTCAGATCTCAGTCTCCTGAGTAACTAGGATTACAGGTATGACCCACTAGCACCCAGATCTATTGTTTATTTTTGTAAAATCCTAGATGCATATGATCTACTCTCTCTCTCTCTCTCTCTCTCTCTCTCTCTCTCTCTGTTCAATTCTCCTGGGAATTGAATGCAGGGCCTGGTGGATGTTAAACTTGTGTTTTACCACATAGCTTAATCCTCAGCCCTCATCTACTTTCTTGTGTTAGATTTCTTCATAAATCAAAGTCTCTTTCCTTCTTTGATGTTTCTGTTTTTCATGTTTGCTTTCACTTGTTCAATTGTTCCACTTTAAGACTGGATTGTCTTTCAGTCAGGAAACTGGTGTGTATTCTGTAAGATCACAGAGAAAGGAGAGAGAGAGAGAGAGAGAGAGAGAGAGAGAGAGAGAGAGAGAGAGAGAGAATGCTCCAGGCTCAAGAGAAGAGACTGGTTTCAGAGCTTAGATCATGTGACTTGGACATGGACATGTGACTTCACCCAGGAGTCCCAGGATTCATATTCAAGATTCAGATAAATATACTCAAGGTGACTAAGGAGTGAGGAAAGCATTGGTAAAGGACTTGTCACAGCACCAGTTGATGGTGAGAACCTAGTTAATTTTCTTTTCTTTCTTTTTTACTATGTACAGAACTGCTAAGTGACTAGACCAGATATGGGGGCCCTGATGTCCAATTAGGAATAATAGAGAGAGAGAGAGAGTGAATTCATTGAGGAAAGGAAACGAAAAGGGGAAGATGAGCTCAGAGGAAGAAAGTGGAGCAGAGAAAATGTATGTATGTATGAGGAAAGGGAGGAAGAATCAACTCTCACAGATAAGAGCTGGCTGGACTCCACAGACCACAAGAGGAGTCTGTGCCCTACTACTTGAGTTGGGTCCTGCCAGTCCAGACTTCTGAAAATACCCCTTTGAGCAAAAAGAATATTCATGTCCCTTTTCCAAAAGCAATTTTTATAGACACACACCATTAAAACACTCATTTGCCTTTGCACACTGTCAGTTTTTATTCATCCCCCTATCTTAAAATACTTTGTCCAAATCTCAGTTGACAAAGAGAATCGCAGTACTGAAGTTGTGTTTGCAGGCTTCTGTTATAATTAGCAGTTGGCTTGGCATGGGAAGCTCTTGGGCAGGAATCCCTCAGTGGTCTTTTCTTGGAGAAATGTAGATCCTCTTCTACCCTTCTCCAAGTTACTCTGTCTTTTAGAGTTTTGTTTTGATCTGTTCTGTGTAATGTAGGTTAACTCTTAACTTCTTACTTTATTTTTCATTGCATAGGCAAGTTTTATAAATCTCGCTTTTGTTTTCAGAAGGATTATATTAACTAATTGAATTCCTTAGTTCACAAAGAGTCCAGGGCCTGTGGAACTATTCAAGAGTTCAATTTTCTGGCTTAATCAGTTGGTCAGAAGTAAGCATTCCGCTTGAATCATTATTAGACCTTGTATATCTGTCAGTTTCCATTGTTATGGGAAATACTTGAGATAAACAACTTAAAGAGGGAGAGAGATCTTTTGGCTCATGGTATCATACTGCTTTATGACAGTGGTGAGGTGGGACATCATGGAGGCAGGGGTATGTTGTAGAACAAAACAGCTCACTTCATGATGGGCAGGTGGCAGACTAAGAGGAAGGGTCCAGAGATGAGATGCATCCTCCAGAGGCACCTTTCACTTCCTCCAACTGAGCTTGACCTAAAGTTAATGTCCTTATGATCCTAGCATCCTTCTCCTGGTCCCTATACAGGGACCAAGCTTTACACACATGAGACTTTTAAGAGACACTTCATATCCAAACCATAACAGATTTTGGCTTTCATTTTTATTCCATTCATTTACTGCCAGTCCCACATTTCTGTTTCCTAATCACAGAAGTGACTTCTTTTTTAATTGACACTCGGTGTCAATTAGGAGAGCAATGCTAAGCAGGGACTCATGTAAGTGGCTAGGTCCAAACAAGTTCGATGGGTTACAGAAGATTTCATGCATTTATTTTTCCCATACGAGAGAGAAAAAGTCATCATAGTTCTCTTTCCACTTTCCCATTGATCTTAAACTTTACCTTTGTAGAAAGGACCTTCATCATATACTCCATACCAGATGACTTTCACTCTTTAAAATTTAACAATATTTGCCAAGTTAAATATTAAACAAAAAAAAGAAATGAAAAGGGCATATTTATTTCGCCCTCAAATCCCTCTGAGATTCATTTCCCCTGTGATGGACAAGATACTCTTTTGGTGGGATGATCTGCGGGGGTAAGCATAGACATGGGTACATTTCACACCTGTTCACGCTCCAAAGCCATTTCCAAGTTAAAAAAAAGAAGAGTTCATGTTTGAGTAACACAGATTCCCAGCATATAACTCTACTCACCTAGATCATGCTGTATGCCTTAATGGGGGAGGCGGAAAAATCTAGAGTGTCACAGAAACAGGGTGTGCCCCTCAGCAAGGGGAGATAGGATGCGGGGAGAAGCAGTTTACCTAGTAGGATCACGATGCACAGAAGGATGGCCACCAGAGCCCCTGTGCTCAGGCCCGTGGGATGGATGAGGGCCTCGGCGTGGCAGGACTGCATGTTGCCAAGGCGGTCACATGCACACACCCGGACAGTCACTGTCCCCGTGCTGCTTTGCACTGGGTAGTCGTTATCTGAAATGACCACAGGCAGGAGGTAGGTGCTCATCTCATGTCTATTATAGCCATTCCTCCGAGTTAAGATTCCCGCGGTGTTGTCTGGAACCGGAAAGCAAAGTGGTAAATGGGCAGACAGGAATAGAGATGTCCAGACCCAGAGACAGATAGACATTTGGCTCCCGATAGAGAGAGTGACGCAACAGGCAACCTGAGATCATTTACCTTTGTTGTCTTGAATGGTGAAGTTGGAGCCAATGGCTGCTTCGGGGGCCAAAGAGAATGAGAACTTGTGTCCACTGTGAGGGTCGTCCTTATCAACGGCACGCAGGGTCTGAATCAACTGAAATTTAAAAAAATCAAGTTGTCATAAAGTTTTGATAATCCAAAAGTGCTTCCTAGTGTTTTGAAGTAATTTGACCTGTGAATCTAATCTTAATAAGAAAATAATTATAGCCTTTGAAATATATTAGGTTAAAATAATTACATTCTGTTTGAAGAGCCAGTGGGTTAGAGAGTCATGGAGTAAGGGATCATTCTTTGTTTGGGGGCTGCCCTGTGTAGAATAGGGTGCTGGGCAGCAACCCTAGCCTGTTCCCTCTAGATGCAAGAGCAGTCCCTGAAATTGTGACAATCAAAAATAAACATTGTAAAATAGTCTCAGGGACAAAAATCACCTGGACTAAACAACACTGACCTAGAGTAATGCAGGGCTGTAAAATGCCACAACTATCTTGGGCAGCACCGCGACCTAGCAAAACGGAAACACTCCAAACCATAACAGATGCATGTAAAAATATAACCCTGTGTGTACATGTGCCACCAGTTTACAAAATGGTACAAAGAAAATTAGTGCATAAAACAAGTAACTTTAGCTTTCTACTTTCCCATGTACTTTAATAACATAGTTCTATTTTGACAAAGTGTAGCATAATTTTTATATTGTTGGCGGCAGAGACCTATTTCAGGTGGTGACAAATGGGGAAAACAGTAAAAACCTCCATGAATTTGTATGACTGGTACAGATGGGCAATGTAAATCAAAAGAGCTTTGCATTACAGACAATTGTAAAATATGTTCTAGTTATTATTTTCAAGTACATATGGTAATCAAACTATCTGTTCACCAATAAAGATTTTTTTCCAGTAAGACAGTGACTAACCTATTTTAATAAAAGCTTAAGACTGATATGGAATCAGCATCAGTCTTGGAGACTGATAACTTGCAGTTCTTAAAAACTGTTTGCTCTGTTATGCAAGTTAAATATTTGTCCTAGGTTTTATTTCAGGTATTAATCTCCTCGGCATTTGCTTCATAGATAATTTACAACTAGCCCTCAGCTTGAGTATCATCTGAATTACCAGGTCTGAATTAATCTGACTTTCCATCTGAATACACTTGTGAGACTCACCTGATCTGCCTTTGCTTTTTCACAGACAAAGGTTTCATAGAACTCAGCAAATTCTGGGGCATTGTCATTGACATCTAGAACTTTAATATATAGAGGTACTCGGCTGCTTTGTTTTGGATTATCTGTCACATACCAAAAAGAAAAAAAAAAGATATTTCATGTTTAAGACCAATCCGATTTCGACACCATTCACTCATTCTTTCATTCTTCTTATCCAAGATTCCCCCAGGACATTGAATACCAATTTGGTCACAAGAAAGAACTGGATAGTTAGGTACTTTTGGATTTGGATACATTTGATAGAAATACCTGATTATGTGGATATGACATACCTGCAGAATACACCCGAAGGTCATACAAAATAAAAACGGCACTTTAGAGTAGATTTTAAGGGAAGTGAAGGACACAGTCAAAAGGAGAAACTCAAGAGACCAAAAAAAAAAAAAAAAACAAACCCAAGAGAAATGAATGAGCTACCAGGAGACCAAATGATTGTTTTCAATATTAGTGTTTTTAATTTGAGAGCCAAAAAAGAGCTGGGAATCATGCTAAGTACTTTGTCATATTAGTTTATTCATTCCTACAAATATCTGAGGAAGTTACAGCTATTGCTCCCACATTATGGATGAGGAAATTGAGGCACAAGGAAGTTTAATAATTTATCTATGTTCACAGACATAGTACGGAGTTGTCTGGGTTCAAATTTAGGCTTGTGACTACAAGGCCCAGCCTGTTCATTTAGGATAATGACAGAACACAGCCAGTTGTTTTCTTTTTATAGCCAATGTTTTAAGACCTGAGAAATAAACTTTGATTTTTAAAACTTGTCTTCTGTGGTAATCTCCTGGGTAGTGGAAGAATCAGAAGAATTAGGAGTTTGAATCTCTTGTTTTGGATCTCTTCCTCTACGTATATATCATACCTTCCTATTTTAAGTACTTAGGGACCATCTAATACTTAGTATGGGCTGGACATTACTTGGGAGTACTGGAACGTGGAAGGGACATAAATCTTACATAAATCTTGCTTCCTGCACAGTTCTAATCAGAAAGGATAAATTCTACAATAAGCTTGTCTTACTTGTGAATTTTTTTTTATTGTGAGAATACTGTACAGAGGGGTTACAGTTACATGGGCAAAATAATGAGTACATTTCTTATCAAGCATTGTTGCCGCCTCTTTGTTTCCCCTTCCCATCATCCCTTCCCATCCTCCCCCCCTCCACTCGGCCCTCCCCCCACCCCCCACCAAAGTTGTAAAGTTTGTTTTTTCCACATAACGACTTGTGCATCTCATTGTTGCAATAGGCCCACCTGTATCCCTAGTTAAATGATTTGTGTGAATTTATAATATGAATTTTGATCAAGCATAGGAAAATTAGTAAATTTATCAAAAAGAAGAAATTAAAGAAATAAACCATTTAACTCTTCTACATACCATGGCTCAGCAGCTGTGGAGAAGCTGACTTGGGCCCATGTGACTGTCCGTTAAGTCGAAATGGTTGTGTGTTCTGCTGAGTGCCTCCCTGATAGTCATTTTATTTGAAACATTTTGCTTTCTAGAAAACTAAGGCTGCCCTCAAAACCAGGTAAAAATTAATGGGTTTAATTTAAGTGATAAAGTGAAAATTTTAGGTTTGTTGAAAGGCTACACGTTCTTCTGTTCTTAGTGGAAGCTGGGCGTATTTTTGTGGGGGCAAAATGAATCAAGCATCAACATACAGCACTGAACTCTGAGCACTGAACTCATCTTGAGCATTAGGAGTTTTCTTTATTGGTGATCTCCTGGGACATATATCGATGGATACTAACGGTCGACTATGTGTACATAAATGTACAGTGCACCAGATGGTAACTGCTATGGAGGAATTAAAGAAAAGGGACGGAGATAGCTAGAGATGCTATTCTGAATGCATTGACCAGCAATGGCTTCTCTGGGACACTGCTTGCTTAGAGACACAACTAAAGATTGAGTCATGTGACTCTTTCTGGTTTGCCATATGGAAGAAACAGCAGGTGCAATGGTCTTGGACGGGGGGTAGAGTTGGTTTTCTATAAGCTTTTAGATTCTGACATATCAAAGGTAGTGAACAAGTTTTGACAATGTAATACTTAAGATTTCTTGCTCACACAATCTTTCCAGAGTTAGAGTGGCTGAATATGAATTTTCACAGATCTTAATTGCCAATAATTTCTACTGTGTTATAGAAATGTGAAATCTTAAAAACAAATTTTTAGGCATAAATCTTAACATGCTTAGGAAATGACTACTGTAGTAAAGAGTAAAATCACGATGTTTTTGAAAAATGGTTCTTTTCAGTGGAAAATAATTTTGTAATTTTCAGGTTTAAAGAGCTCACTGTTACAGGCACAACATCAGTTTTAGTTATTTATTATTCCACCCAATATCCTTCAGCTATTTCAAACCTCATGAGTTATGTTGACAAAATACAACTGTAATAAACCACTTCATATGGAATATTTCACACTAGATACCCAACTGAGATTAAAACATGTTTAGAACTTTAAAAATTAAAAACAAAAACTAAAAGAACTATAATTTAGAAGCCTATTTTTAAACACTAAAACACTATTTTCAATATCATTTTTCTTCCCTGAACTCCACTGTACACATTAGATTTACAATTCACATTAGTTTTCAGTGCATAAAATCATTTTATTTAAAGCATTCTTTTGGCGTTACCTATTTTTGCCTTAAATTCCATGGGGACTACCGTAAAACTCATTGTAAATGTTTTATTGATTACTTGGTGGTTTCTATTGCTCACTTTGATATACTATGAAAAAGTGATTAGTGGTGTCACTTAATTCTGTAAAGATTTTGAAACACAAATTACACAGAAAGCTAGAGAATAACTAAAGGTACTTGAATCCATTTGTCTCCTGACCTCAACCATGTCTAACTTAGGGTCCACATTTTAGCTGTTTCTGATATATCTCTGTATAAATAAATACATATGTATATATAAAATATCTCTATATAAGTAGATATGCCTAAATGTACACATTTATATATTTATAGACACATATTTACTTGTACAGAATTTCATACTTTTCAGTTTTATAAGCTTTTGGAATCAAATTTAAGCAGTACCAAATTCAAATTCAGGGGAGAGATGTATTCCCATTTTATTGTTTCCAAACTATAGACTTTCCAGATTTCCTTTCCCTTTATGAGTGAACCAACATACATTTCGAGTCATTTCAAGGTTCTTTCCCTCTATACACATCCAGTAGGATCATCAATAAATGGTGAAGAATTTCAGCCATGCTCATTAAGCCCTTACTAGAAGACTCCCTCTATCAGCTGAGGACCACAGCAGTGCTGGGTTGGACTTACTGATCTCTGTAGCTATCACTGTAATGTTGTGCCACAGCAGTGTTTCTCGATCAAGAAGTTTTGAAGTGAAAATGGAACCATTTCCAGAATCAATGTTGAAGATTCTGTCCATATCTGTGTGTCGATCTACTGAATACCTGAAAATGCAGAGTAGAATTGTGTTTGATAGTAGTTCGTATCATAAAATGATTCCCAGATTATGTTATGTTATTTTTTTCTACTGATGGTGGATTTAAATGCCTGTAAACTAACTTTAAGCAAAATATCCCGAGGAAGTTAGTTTCTTACCATTGAGATGTAAGATTTACCAGCACATTAACATGATTATTTTTCTCTTATCCATTGTAAGACGCACCAGCTGGCTAGTTTGGCTAAGGTTAGTGAAGAGAAGAGGGAAATAGAACACGGAGCTAGAGAGGGATCCCGAGTGTAGACTGCAGAAAGATGACCTGGCCAAGGCAGAGTGTTGGGATCTATGTTAAATCACATGCAACTCTACCCTAAGGGTTTGAGCAAAGGGGATTGAAATCTAAATATTCTTTATTTACTTCTTTATTTTTTGTCGGTCGTGGGCCTGAACTCTGGGCCTGGGTGCTGTCTCTCAGCTCTTCAGCTCAAAGCTAGCGCTCTACCACTTGAGCCACAGCGCCACTTCTGGCTTTTTCTGCTTATGTGGTGCTGAAGAATCGAACCCAGGGACTCATGACTGCAAGGCAAGCACTCTACCACTAAGCCACCTTCCCAGCCCCTCTAAATAATTTTTTAACAAAGTTGCTGTCATTACTGATGAAAGAGGATTGAAAAGCAGGACGGGGGATGGTCTTAACTTCCATTTTGTGTTGGTACTGGGACTTCAATTCAAGGTGCTCTGCCATTTCTCCATCCCCTTTTGCCTTTAGGTAATTTTTGTTTTTAAAGATGAAGTCTCAAGTTGCCCTGGCCAATCAACCCACCTACTGCCTCCTTAAGCTCCATTCTTTTTTTAGGGGGGTGGGTGATACTGGTGTTTGACCTCAAAGCCTCATAGCTCCCAGGGAGGTGATTTACCACCTAGCCCTACCTCCAACCCCTTCCTCCCTCTTTGTTTAAACTGGTTGTCTTGAGATAGACTGCTTCCTACAAAACTTGTGCACTGACTGCGATCATCTTATTTCTTGCTTCCCACTGTAGCTGTATCAGACCCAGCATCTCCTGGGGAGCTGGAGTTCTTGTGAACTTTTCTGCTTGGGTCTGCCTAGGCCCATGGTCCTCCTGATCTCAGCCTTTCACATAGCTAAGGTGACAGAAATGTATCACTATACCCGGGTATTGATTGAAAAGGGGTCTCATGTATATTCTTGGGCTGGTCTTGAACCACAACCCTTTCATCTCAGCCTTCCAAGTTAAGTTGAATTACAGATGTCAGCTGCTGGTGCCCTGGCTCGAAGTTCCATTTTTGAAAATGCCCAGGCTGTGGAAAGTCTAGGAGGAGATGTGTAGTCAGAAAGCTCAGGATAAAAATTGGAACTGACCATCTAGATTTCTATTGAACTGTTCAGAAAAGAACAGCAAGTGAAGGTAGATGACAAACACAAAGGATAGAATCACCGAAAGGACCAGAAGGGGAAGAAATGTCACAGAGAACTAACACAGTCCTGGAACACAGTAAGAACTACACATATACTTAAGGAGAGCTGATAGGAATTCAAATCAGTTTGAGTCTTATCTTCCATATCATGGGGCAGAATATTTAACTCTGAAACTGATGAAAGACTAGTAAATTTTGAGAAATGTTATTTATACATTGGTTACTAGTTTTATTTGTTTATTAATATGTTTATTGCTACTAGCTTTTAGAATAGTCAGATAGGATGAAAAGTTTGCATGTATGTTTATGAATAAGGAAGCACTAAAGAGGAAGTCCTGAAGAAAGCATATTAAAGCCCTTCAAGAAAAACAATTGCCCATCTTACTGGGATTCTCAAGCATATATTATCTTAAAACTTTGCTTAATAGAAATGCAATTTAAGTACATGATTCATCTAGTTAGACATATGTGAAATGAATAGGAAAGATTGTTACTAATTTATAATAGCATAGCATGTTCAAGATTCTGTTTCAGGAGTTATTTTTGTTTAAAATGGGGGTAGTGAGTTGCAATATATTTTATCTTAATTTCCCCAAGTGGCAGATGACTAAATGAAATAAATATTCAATCTCTGCAGGCTATTTAGACCTCATTTCAAAGAGAATTAATGAAGTTAACATGCACACATATATGTTTAATTTTTGACTTTTAGTTTTAGTATATTTAAATGAATATTTATTATTATCAAAGGGTAATTTTTCCATTTTTGTTGTGCCCAGAGTTTTTAAAAGAGAATTTACTCACTTGATGACCTTTCATCATTTGAAAATTTGAAATGATAATTTGTAAAATTTTATTTTATTGTAAAGATGCTGTACAGAGGGGTTACAGTTATATAAGTAAGGCATATTTCTTGTTGAATATTGTTACCCACTCCATTGTTGTTCTCCCACTATCCCTTCCCTCCTGTGATAAATTTTGTTTTTTGTTGGTCATGGGGCTTGAACTCTGGGCCTGGGCACTGTCCCTCAGCCCTTCAGTTTAAGGCTAGCGCTTTACCACTTGAGCAACAATACCACTTATGGTTTTCTGGTGGTTTATTGGAGATAAGCGTCTCATGGTCTTTCCTGTCTGGTCTGGCTTTGAACTGTGATCCCCAGATCTCAGCCTCCTGAGTAGCTAGGATGACAGGCATGAGCCACTGGTGCCTGGCCCCCGATAAGTTTTATAATACATAGTTGCTTACTAAAAAGGAAGTCTCAGTAATCATAGACTTTATGAGAAATTGGATAATTATTTATGTATGTTCTTTTCTACTCTTGAGAATGCTAAGCTGAAGAAGTGCTGTCCGGTGCCTCTAAAAGCTGTTACAGTTTATATAGCAGTAATCTTTTCTGTCGGTCCTTTCTCTGCCACCTGGTATAGGTTTAAGTAATCATGATTTCCCATTAAGCCTTGAAATAAAGGGTAAGCAATGAGGAAGTTTTAGTTGAAGGCTGCTTTAAATTTTAAAGAGGGAAGATTAACTATTTAAGAAATACCAAAATTTATATTGCCTTTTCTTAATTGGGAGATTAAAAATTAATAGAAAATCTAAAATGCCCATACTGTTTAGGAGTGATGCTTACACAAAGTCTCATTTTCTTTTTGTTGTTGTTTTTGCTAAAGTAATTTCAATTTACATCAAGAGTATTTATCTTGAATAACATTAATTGCATTCCTCACTAATAGGAAACAAGGTAATCAATCCCACTGTGATAACAGCAGATCATTTTTCTGGAAAGTTCTTTTTTTCCCCCATGAAGACCAAATTGTATTCTGTGATTAAATAGTGTCTTCTCATGTGTCCTCAGGTCAGAAATATTTGTGAGTTGGGAAGATGTACTTGCATGTAATTATTTTTCCTAGTAGGTTTTTATAGTGACAGAGGACTGACTCATGGATACCAAAAGGTGTTTATGATAAAGTTACTGGAAGGAAATTATTTATGTGATTAAAGAGATTGTGACTGCATGATAAATCAATGCTTGGGGAAGAATTCTCTTAATTAATTATTCACCTAATATATTGTTTAACACCTTGTTATTCAATATTTATGTCTAGCCAAGGCTAGACATATATGACTATGTATGTATGCATATAGAGAGAGAGGGAAAGAGGGAATGATTTATGTTTATTTCATAAAAGAATCACTGGAACTTATATTCCAATATGTTGATGCATATTTCTAGTCTTAAATCTATGTCTATATATCAAATCCATATGTACCAATGGAAGACTGACAATGAAGAAACCTTAAAATTAACTAACAACCATCCCAGTGTGACCAGTTAACTACTTATAAAACATAAGACACGCTGGGTAAAATAGTATTTAGTGTAAAAAGCAACATCGACATCGAAGTGTATAACCCTGCATTTTCACGAGACATATGCTCTTAAAAACGTGTTGACCTATTAGGGAGTTAACTGAAGCTCATTATTTGTAAACTACTGGCATTAATGCTTTTAAATTGGACTTGACACTGACTGGCTAAGACTTTTTTCCACATGCGGTTAGAACAACTCCAAGTGAGAGAATGGTTTGTACTTAAATGATTTGTGCTGCATTGATGAAAGCCATCATTTATTTTCCTTCATTAATAACAATAAATGTAGATGTGGAAACACACAATCCATGGAACTTAATGTGGCTATTTGAGTTGGCATTGTGCAGTTCAAGGTGACATTTAGATATTCCTTGAGAAAGTTCTGCTTGCCTCCTCGAAAGTAAGTCAGGCATTTCTGTGTGTTTTACCTATGATACCATCATGTTTGATTTGCACAAAGGGACCACAGTTAGAAAACAATTGCCTTCCATTCTCTGCCTTTTATCTGCAATTATATCGTTTGATTTTGGCGTGGCTAAGAGCGATGCTTTTGAAATGAAGTTTTGAATTTGGTAAGTTTTCTTCTACTCAAAGCTTCCCCATGGCTTTTCTCCTCCATGAAAATAAAATCCAGATTTTTTATGTCTTTATCACAAAGCCCTGCAGGGTCTGCCCATGTTCACCTCACCTGCCAACCTTCCTGCTGGACTTTCCCCGGTCATTCTCTCTCTTCTAGCTGTACATGTCTCCTTGCTACTCTACCAACATGCTAAACCAGCTCTAATACCATACCTTCTGTGGCTTCTCCCCTTCTGGAGGGTCCTCCCCCAGGTATTTGCATAGCGCACTCCTTTCTGTTTAGACATTTACTTGAATAACTCCTGTTAAGAAGGCCGGGCCTAATCATAGTGTCTACAATAGTTCCTCACTTGGTCTTTGTTTCCATCCTCTGCTTTAGTTTTTATTTCATTCTCGGTATAGCATTTACTTTCACTTGATATGTTACATATTTATGCTGTTTCTTTCTATCTGTAATCTCTTAGGAATCAGGACTCACCATTAGTTTTCTGGGTTATTCCCTGGTGGCTAGGACATTTCTGCACACTGAGGGAACTCTGATCAGAGCATACTTGTGGACTCACTGTCATGAATTCCTATAGCTTTGCACTCTGCTTACTTTATTAACGGGGGATAATGGATGCAATGGCTTTCTGTTTAATATTCTCCTCATTAATTAAGCTGCTGGCTACAGGCTTCAAGATTTTCATGAGATTCTAGAATTTTCAAGCTGTCAGGGATCTCCAAGAGCAATGAAGCTTTCTTACAGCATGACTTATTGCAAAAGTGTCAGCAAAATACATAGAAAACAGCTTGTTTACATAGCATTAATTTGAATTCTGCTCTATTAATTTCCCCATGATTCCACAGACATAGATCATGAAATGTTCTTTATTTACATCTGCAAGAGGAAAAATTATGCATTCAAATGAAGCATAATTCTACCTCTAAGTGTTACATGATCAGGTTCTGCCCACACTTGAAAAGCAGGCCCTCAAGCCTAGTGCCTGGTTTGTTTGTTTCTCCAGTCTACATGTTGGCAGATCTTAAACCTTAGCAAATAAAAAACATCTTAATCTTAAAAAAATGCCAAGGGTCATTCAGTTCCATCACTTTATGAGACTTGTATATAAGCAGCAAACTCTTCAAGTTACTATTATTAACATTTTTTTCTTTCCAATTTTGTATATATTAGATTTAGGCTGCTGCTAACATAGTGAACTAGAAGATTAAAGGTATGGGTTTTCAGGAAAACACAACTGTCTTTTTAAAATTCACACATAGTTTGTTATTCGAAAAAAATCCACGGATTTAGGAAATAGATGTGATTGAAGAAATGTGCTTACTTGACGGGATTCCTGGCCGCGTCTGGATCTTGAGCTGTGACTGAGCCGACTGTGGTGTTTATCTGAGCGTCTTCTCTTATCTGTAGGACGTAGGCCAGTTTGCTGAAGACAGGAGGCTCATCCACATCCTCCACCACAATTCTCACTGTGGCTGAATCTTTGAATGGACCCAGGTAGAGAAATCGCGGTTCCACATGGGGATTGGAAGCTTCCACCTTCAGGGTATACACTTTCTTCTTTTCAAAGTCCAAGAGCTTTGGAGAAAAAGGGATATGTTGAAAGCAGCCAGGACATAGAAAGCCAAGACAGGAACCATTTTAAGTACAAGTCTCTGATAGATGAATACGCTTAGAGAAATCACTATGCCTTAGTGTGATATTGGGCAGAGGCAGCAAAGATAAGGTATAATTAATTTTCTTCCCACAGCCTAGGCCATTAAGAGAGAAACTATTACCTTAGCCGTGAAAGAGTTCTGATACCACTCAACTCTAATGTCAATGTGGGCTGAAACTATGCCTGCTGTTGATTGAAAGTGCCGGGGGTATTAGCATCACGGAGGGAATCTGGGAGTAGAAATCTGTCATGGCTAATCGCTGTCCCTTAAAATGCTTTCCTATATTTAAATAGAGGGGTCACCAGGAGTCAACCAGAGATAGGTAGTGCATTAGTCTGTAGATATTCTCACATCTGGCTTTCATTTCACCTGCTGAGTGTTCAAAATTTGCTAATGCCTGGTGCCCCAGATTTGGATATTAAACTAAATACCTAGACTGGGAGAAGTCAGCTACATGTATAAGCACCTTCTCCAGTGATGTAAGGTGCAGCTGGAGTGGAGAATCACAGGTTTGAACCATGCTTCTCTCTTCCTCAAGCAGACAAAATAGATGGCATTTGTTTTGCATGAGTTACCCAAAGATTACAAATAATATCCTGATAAGAACTGGGAAGTAATTATTTACCCAAGAATGAAATGATTATTGTTGTCAAAGAACTTTAAGAAGAACCTTTTTTTCCTTTTGGAGTCACAGTGAAGGCAAAGTTTTTTTTTTTCTGACTTTTAGATGCTAACAGGATGAGGCTCCGTAGAAACACAATTAATCAAGATGTTAGTGAATGCGATTTAGTTGGCTAGGCAAAATTTCAGTTCAAATCTGATAAAGCACCATGAAAATTAAAAAGGTTAATGCACACTAATGGGTTTCTTAATTATATTATGGTATAAAACATTGGTCTGAGAGCCACTGAAGCATGGTTTATTGTAGTTCTAGGTATTAAGACATGGTTTTAAGAGGCAAAAAAGTTTTTGTTATTTGCATCCACCTGTGTTTATATTTACTAGCAAAAAACAGTATGTGTAGGAAGGAGAAATTATTACTCTCTGCAGGATATAAGACAAATCACTAAAATGTTTTTAGCCTTCAAGCATATAAGATTTTAAAGTTTTAAAATTAAAAATAAATTGGGTTGGTACTGAGGTTTGACAGAGCCTGGGCTCTGTCCTTTGTGGTTTTTTTTTTTTCTTTCTCAAAGCTAGTATACTACCACTTTGGAGATAAGAATCTCATGGACTTTCCTGTCCAGGCTGGCTTCAAACAGTGATCCTCAGATTTCAGCCTCCTGCATAGCTAGGGATACAAGTACGAGCCACAGCACCTGGCTTAATTTCTTTGGTTTGAATGCTACACTTTTGGATGCTGTTCTGTAGTGCTAGACAATTTAGGGATGTAAAATAATACAGAAGTACACAGGTGAAAAAATCAAGAAAATTAGAACCTAAAAGATTTATTATCATTGAGTTCCATAAATTCTTACAGGAGTTATAGGAAATTTGTATTGCATATATTAAATTTGTACCCATTGTGAATCTACTGTGTCTAAGGCATGTTGCCCAGCTCTTGTATCCCCCCCCCTCTCTCTTTGTTGGTCATGGGGCTTGAACTCTGGGCCTGGATGCTGTCCTTCAGCTCTTCAACTCAAGGCTAGTGAAGTACCACTTGAGCCATAGTACCACTTCCCGTTTTCTGGTAGTTTATTGGAGATAAGAGTCTCATGGACTCTCCTGCCTGGGCTGGCTTTGAACCATGGTCCTCAGATCTCAGCTTCCTGAGTTGCTAGGATTACGGAGTGAGCCAACCACTGCCCAGCACTCTAGCCTCTTCTCCTTTAACGCATGTTTCCCAGCTTGCTACCCATTTTGTTTGTTTGGTTCCTAACTGACTTCTGCCAGCTATTACCTAGCAGTTCCATGAAAGGAGAGACCACTCTTGTCCATGTGGGCCCCTCCCCTCTGTCTGCTTAATGTTATCACTTCCTTATTTTTTATGTACACCATCTGTTTATATTATTTATTTACTGCAGAGACTTAATAAAATTTATCATAAGTATAGAATGAAAGAATACATAAAATTAGTTTTAGATCCCTAAGAGCTAACTCCCAAGTTATCTCAGCATCATTAAAATAATTAGAACAATAAAAAGATGAAGGAAGGCTTATGTGAGGTGTTAGTTGTCTTTGGTGACTCGAGAACTAGAGAAAAGTAAGTGTGTCCCTTTATATGACAGTCAAGATGCATCATTACCTTTTTGACGGTTATAATCCCTTCCTGGGTTTCCTGGTCTGTGATGACATCAAACATATCCAGGCCCTCGCCATCTGTGATGCTGTATTCAATTTCCGCATTTTCTCCTACATCAGCATCACTGGCTTTGATCCTGCCAATTGGTGTACCCGGTGGAGAAGACTCAGGTGTTTTAAATTGGTATGAACCTATCAGTCACCAGAGATTTGAATCAAACACAGGCTAAGCATTCTCAGTTACCATAAATAATACCCTCCTATCCATAGAGGATTCATTCCAAACCCCCAGTGGATGCTGGAATGCTGATTGTTATAAACTCTAAATAAAGTATATACATATATATACAAGTGTATATATACATATGTGTGTATACACACACAAAGTATACTTTAGAGTTTATAACAATCAGCATATATACACATGTATATATGCATATATGTATATACATGTGTATATAGTATATACACATGCACACATATATGTATCTATATGTACAGGTATACATATATATACTAAATGTTACATATAGTATTTAGTTTAGATACAGTATTGCAAATACAATATGCTGTTTTTCCCTGTACATAGATACTGATGATAAAGTTTAACTTGTAAACTATGTACAGTGAGAGATTAATAATAAATTCTAAGCATGAAAGCTAGAACAGTTATAATAATAGATGGTTATTAAAAATTTTCAAACTGTTAATTTCTGGAATCTCCTATTTAATATTTTTGGACATTTTGTGATTGACAATGGGTACCTGAAACCACAAGAGGTTAGACAAACCATTGTCTAACTATACTTCAAGATATTACTAAGGATGGAGGGAGATTTGAAATTTCTTCTGAACAATGAATGGTGCTCTGTTCTCCATATGTCTTTGCTTTCCTGATTATTCAAATGGGACCTTCTAATTCATGACATGTAAATGGAAAACACTTTTTGTGTCCTGTACATGGGCTTCTGCGTTTGTGGTATGAGGGTGAGAATGGTTGAAATGTTGGAGGAAGAAAGAGAGGGTTTCCAAGTCCTCTATGAATGTAATCTAACAGAAAGAAAAGAATTTAACTGCAATTCCAATGTGCAGCCAGTGACTAGGTGCTTTTACACAAGTCCTTTCTGCCACTGCTAATCCCAGCAGAAGAGGGGCTAAGTGACATCGGTTTGGAGAGCAAATCCACATGGATGCATAGCTTCACCTACCTGCCAAATTGGGGTTATGGAGGAATCCACAGAATTAGAAAGCTCTAATTTTGTTTTTCTTGACTAACACTTTCTCTTAAGTTCCAGGATAGTATTTGATCTATTTACAAATTTTTCTTTCATATTTATCTTTGCATGACTAATTCAAAAATTTAAGATTTACATGTGAATTTCAGTTGAGATTTGACAGGGCAGCCTATGCTTAGAACTAAAAATAAACTAGGAAATAAGTAAAAAAAAATATAGCCAAACCCAAACAGCACAATTCCATTTTCACCTATTACATTTTGCCAATCATTTAAACAAATGGTCTTTGGGGGGGGGGGAAACAACCCCAAACAGACTATGCCACCACTAAAACACAAGTCTTAATTCCCTGAGTTTTGAGTTCAACTTGGGGAAAATAATAAAGTAACTTAAATATTTCTCTAGTGGATTCAACTTCCATTTTAGGACCTACTATCTTTGCCTTTCTGTATTCTCTCCTCTCTTGCTTCGGTGCACAGTTTTGGTTACAAGCTTCAGACCATCTTTGGAAAGAAAAGAATGAATGGGAAACCCCTCTTGTACTAAGGTGCTAGTAAATTCTTACATGGTCTTTCCTAGAGAAAGGTGTTGGTGATCTTAATACTTTCATTTTAGGGGGAAATTTTAGGGCTTATAAAACTTTTTATTGTACTCTACATACCAGAAGATATTAGTTAACTTTCTATTTTTGTTATTTAGTCAGCTCTGATTACATGCTTCAGAAATGAAAGGATTTCCTACTGGCCCTTGAATCCCCATTCTAGGGAAGCCAATAGTGTAGTTGCTGGCAATCTTATTTTTTAAATTTAATTAATAGTGTGTGTGTATGTGTGTGTGTGTGTGTGTGTGTGTGTGTGTGTGTGCACGTATGCGTGCACATGTGCCACTAATGGGGCTGAACTCATAGCTTTGTACTCTTGCTTTGTTTTTTCACTTAAAGCAAGTGCTCTGCCACTTGTGCCATAGCTCTATGTCTGGCTGGTTAATTGAATTTCTACTTGGGTTGTTTTTGAACTGAGATCTTCAAATATCAGCTTCCTGAATAGTTAGCACTCAGCCATTACCTACCTACCTACCTAACTATATATATTTATTTATATATATTGCCATAGGCTACTATGGCAATATATATAAATAAAAGGTGAGTTTGTTGTTTAATAATTGAGGTAACATATGTAGAAAATTATGTTGGAAAGGTATTATTCCTTGAAGAAAAAAATGACATTTAAACAAGTTCCTACTTGAGTGGTTCTGTGCAGGAATCTACCCCATTACTTGGTACTAAAGTAATATTGGGGCTGGTGCTGTCACTTCCTAGTTGTGAGAGTTGGTGATTTTTTATATGACTTTCGGTGTCACCATTAACCATAAAGAAAACTCTATGATGACAGAGTTATATTTTTAGGAACAGGAAAATGATAAGTCCTCCCTTACAAAGCTTTGTGAGCCTCTAAAAGAGATTACATGCCTGATTAAGTTCACAAACATAAAATCAAGTATTTTTTCCCCCTAACAAATAGCAGCATGCTTGTATACATATGTTCTGCACAAGCAAATTTATGTCTCTGGTCGTCTTTTTAATAAGCAAAAAGCAAATAAAGACGTTCCTCTTCCAACAGCAGCCATAGCTGAAACTGCTCAGCTAATTACCCAACGGTGGAACATAAATGTTCACACTTCCTGAGCACAAGTAGTGTTTTCAACTCATTTTAATAATTTTAATAAAAGTGCCAATTCTTACTAAGTCCACCGATTTTGACAATCATGATGACAACAGGAAATACATATTCTTAAAGGTAGTATTTCACACAATCTTATTGAAGAAACCCATTCAATTAAATATTCTTACTCTGGGGAAATCGAGGCGGGTTGTCGTTGACGTCGGTCAGCGTGATGTTCACCGTAGTGGTTCCTGAGAGGCCGCCCATCTGGCCACCCATGTCTTTGGCCTGGATGACCACTTGGTACTGCTCTCTGTTTTCTCGATCCATGTTGAGCAAAGCTGTCTTGATGATACCTATGGTGATGACATTTAGGAGTAGAAGGGGATGCATTAAAAATACTTTATGGACTCATTTATTTAGGCAAACAAACACAGACTGTCACCCACAATATGCAAACCACGATGCAGATGTCATGGTGATATAAAGATGATCATGTACAGCCTTCATAACAGAGGATATTACAATCACACAGGGGAGAAAGATACATTCCAGAAAGCTTATAATATAAAGAGAATGAAAATAAGTATGAGTCAAATTTTATGATAGTACAGACTGCAGAGAGTAGAAATATTAAATGCTATATGAAGACAGAAAAAATATTAACGGCACATGATAGAAGGGTATACACTACAATAGTCACCTGATATAAAACATGTAGATGGGTTATGAGTAAGTCATTAAGAAAACCCTACATTCTTGAATGGATTCTTGAGTTCCACATTATTGAACTGGCTAATGGTTTCTCAGATGGACCTATAGTAATGAATAGTCTGAGGACTTTCTAAGCCACAAAATTATGAAATTAAGAAAATGTGACATCAGTTCTCTGATAATTAGAGTCTTGTATGGTCCTTGAGAATTTAGGATTTTATGAAAGCTGAGGAGAGCTGTAGTTCAACTGGTCCCAATGGTAGCCAACCTTTGAAAGTTAGGTTAAATTTATTTCTACTGTTAGGTAGGTATAAGATAATTACTTAAGGAATTTCTCAGAGTTTGCCTAATCCCTATATGGGGTTTATCTTAAGTTAGCTTTCTGTTAAAATCACTGGAAGAGGTTTTATAACTCCAGTTGCACATTCTAGTGCTTAACAACTAATGAACCTGAAAAATATCTTTTTTTTTTCCTTTTTAACAAGAATACCTCAGACAACAGGTCAATTTTACTCCAACGGTCTTGGCTTCAAAGTGCAGCTGCTTGCTGGTCCTCAAATAATAGAACTTCTTTATTTAAATATAGGAGATCATCTTAGCCTTTTGTCCTAGAAGTAGAATTATTCTAATTTTTCATATTCTTTGCTTTTCAACTCAACATTTTCTTTCTCCTTGGGATTCTGTCCAAGTTCACTGAACCTTTTAACATCTGTATTTTCAACTGGGATGTAGAACATAGAAAGATTCTGATTTCTAGTCAAACCAAAGGATGTTTGAAAATGTCTAAAAAGGAAATTTGACTCTCATTATGACAGCAAAAACATGTATAGAATTTAACATACAATACAAATGCTCTTTTGCTACCAAAAATCATCTCAAATGTATGATTTTTTTATAGGGAAAATACAGAAAAATGAGATGCTGAGAAAACGATTCTTAGTCAGCTGTGTCAGTTAGCATACGCTAGTTAATAATGTGACAACAGTCAATACAAAATCCCTATGACTTAACGCAAAGAAAGGTTATATTTTGCAAGAACAGGCAAGCAAGAAGCTCTGTAGGCTTCTGCTATTTATGCAGGCTGTGTAGCCCATCTCAACAATAGTTTCCATGACCTCTGTGGCAATGGGAAAGGAATGCAGCAGACTGCGTACCAGCTCCAAAAGTTCTGTGTGGAAGTGACTTGTCTTCCAGCCCATTTTATTTGCCCAACTAAATCACATGGAAACATCTTAGCTGCAGAACAGACTAGAATGATGCAATCTGCTGCAGTAACTGCAAAAGGAAGTCAGAATATCTGTGAACAGCCATGATAATCCTCAGAAAGAGTTCGCCTTTTAGCTTCAATTTGCACTGCAAGAAAAATAATTGAATTTGTAATTTTTCTGAGCGTGTCCTATGTAAGTACGGAAGATGAGAGATTCATTGTCAGATTTCTTGATTAAAATGATTTGGATGCCATGCTTACAAATATATCATTAGTATTTGGCAGAGAAATACAGGAAATTTCAATCACACTGATTGTTTTTTATTAAAAAATATGCTAGCTCAGCGGAGCATGTCAATTAAAATTACAGCATATAGAAGAGAAGACCAGGAAAGAGTTCTAACCTGTTTCTGATTCAACTGAGAAGTACGGCTGTCCCTGGAGGATGCTGTAGACAACTTTAGCACTGTTGCCATAAGTTGGATCATCGGCATCTGTTGCAGTGACCTGGACAACAAATGTGCCTGGAATGACAGAAACACAAACTGAAAACTAATGAAGGGCTTGTTATGTTCCTTGATACACAGATAAAAAGAAAGCATCATCTTAATTTTCTATACAGCTATCATGATAAGAAAGGCTAGGTTGGATCCTTCTGAAGAGATTATGTGATTATATTATTATTCTATTAATAAATATTGTAAGGATTAAGTTGAAGAGAAGCAAGGGAATAATTATGTTGCTGAGCATCGCATCTCAAGGATGAGATTTGTCTGTACTCTTTTTGTTTGTTTGTTTGTTTTTAATATATATCATTTTTGTGGGATATTGGGGCTTGAACTCAGGGCCTGAGCACAAGTCCATTAGTATTTTTGCTCAAGGCTGAAGCTCTACTATTTGAGCCATGGCTCCACTTCCATATTTTTGGTGGTTAATTGGTGATAAGAGTTTCACAGAGGGGCTGGGGGTTTAGCCCAGCGGAAGCGCGCCCGCCTGGCACGCGCAAGGCCGTGGGTTCGGTTCTCAGCCCTGGTTTAAAAAAAAAAAAGAGTTTCACAGAATTTTCAGCCTGGGCTTGCTTTGAACCTCGATCTGCAGATCTTGGCCTCCTGAGTAGCTAGGATTACAGTCATGAGACACAAGCTCTCTGCTCGTATATTTTATAATCTTTAAGTAGTTGTAAATTAAATTCAGCATGTCAGCTTATGAGTACAATGCATGCTTTCTGCAGTGCCAGCATTCCAACCCAGCGTCTCTTGCGTGCTAAGTCAGTGCTCTACTACTGAGCTATAGTCATTGTCTTTGACTATATTCTTGCTGCAGTAACTTTTTTTTAAAGTTATCCAAGATTAACTCAATCAGTATCATTTATTACTTTGTCCACAGAATTAGTTTGGAAGTTGTCCAGTCAGGGAGGCACTCATAATTTTGTTAGAAATTCTATGTGCTTTTCCTGGACTATGTGTAAGGTGATGAAGTGCAGTCACAAATATAGAAGCTACTTGTGAACTTAGAAACAACATTCTGTGGATAAAAGAGGAAAAAGATTGAAAACCACCAAGAAATAACTAGACCCAAGGTCATATTTATAGTAAATATTTTTACTGTTTGAACAAGTGGGAGTTGGGTTTTCTGTTAGCTTCCAGCCTAAATAACAAATCTAGCTAGCTAGGAAGTGGTGATTCATACTCGTAATCCTAGCTACTCAGGAGGCTGAGATCTGATGATCAAGGTTTGAAGTCAGCCTGACAGGGAAGTTGTGAAAATATGATCTCCAACTAACCACCAAAAATCTGGATGTGGTGCTGTGGCTCAAGTGGTACAGCACTAGTCTTGAGTGAAAAAGCTAGAGGACCATGCCCAGGTCCTGAGTTCAAGTACCAGTATTGGCAAACTCGAGAGTGTGCGTGCGCGCACGCGCGCACACACAGACACACAGATAGAATAATCTATCTGATTATTCTAAGAGTTTTAAAGTCCTTAAACTTTAAAAGAATTAGATGCATCAGGTAAACAATCAATTGAAATAGCTGAGCATAAACATCTGGAATTTGTCATCCAGATTAATATACAAAGAAGATTTCTGCATTTTAGACTGGTATACTTATTTCGGAGCTAATTCTCACAAATAACTTTCAAAGTATCCCTATCTATGCTGAAATTTCATGACAACTTTCATGTAAATGTTTACATGGTTATTTCATGGAGAGAAGGCTCATAGGATTTATTTATTCTCAAAGGGAGCAATGACCTCCAAAAAGAGGAGATTCTTTAAGGCTTATTTTTGATGATCCTATCAGATAAGCTGTAAAAATGCCATCCATGAAAAGGGTAGGGAAGTTCCAGCTAGGAGATATTAGAATTTTTAAATTGCTGTTGTAGAATCTAACCAATTTCATTTATGGAGCAAACAGTGTGTGCTGTGGTAGGGTTGGATGTATTGGAGGTTACACGCCTATGTGTGGGATACTGCATCCACCCTTGTAATTTTCCAAGAAGAGAGAGGGAACAAGAGCATCATGAGATTTTAGAGGGAAAGCTAATAGAAGTCAACAAATACTTAACTTCTTATTTGCATTAATAAAAAATTTGATTGCTTTTCTAATATGATTATCTGCCTGTTATAAGTGCCCATTAGCTGCCAGATATTGTATGAAGGCTCTGTACCTGTTTTCTTATTTAATCCTCATGATAACCCTTAGAAGTAGATATTCATTATTTATTTCCTATAGACACAGAGCTGGGAGATCAAAGAATTCAGGATCAGAGAAATCAAGCAATTTGCCCAAGGCTACACTGCTGGTTATTAGGGGAGATAGTTTCAAATTTATGTCTGTTTTTACCTCTCTGCTACTGTCCTACTACACACACACACACACACACACACACACACACACACACACATACACACACACATACACACACATGCATACATACATATATAAAGCATTATATATCACCATATTGATTCATAATAATAATGAATGTCAAAAGTACTATGCCTGCATGCAAATAAAAGAAAACAACAAAATAAAACCCTTTCCTTTTTCAAGACCTGTGAATTTGAAATACATATTTAATTCTTTAGTGGCTTCAAAAGTGAATGTAATTCCCTAGAGTGTGGGCTACATGACCTGCATATCTGGTCAAGAGTTGTTCTGGGTGCTGCTGGTAACAAGGCTAGCTCTCCTTCGTTAGCTCTCCTTAGTTCTTTTGCTTTCTACCACCTATAGAGGGAAGAAAAAAGCCTTTTCCCCCTAACAAACCTTCCTTTTAGAAGAATTTCAATCCCTCTGGTTGCTTTCGTGATGGCTTGTGATTTTCCTTGCTAAACAAAATGACTTCAAGTAATGAGATGAGCAGTTTCACGAGAAAATGGCAATATTTTATATTTTTTCCCCACGGACTGGATATTTTCCAAATCTTGGAATTGGAAACATCCCTGATCTCTGACTGACAGACTCACAGCAAGGTTATTATACATTCTCAGTCCTTTGGAATTAAAAATAGAATTAAAAATAACCCCTTTACTTGAATAGTTGAGAATTTGTCACTGTCTTCCAGGTAGTATCTTAACATTTCTAAGAGAGAGTGACATTCCACAGTTTTTCTTTCTTAATTTAAATCCTGTTTACTTATTAAACCAATTAAATCCACATGAACCGAACTTAAAATTGGTAGTGAAATTGTGCATAAAATATTAATCCACATTATTAATATCATGAATGTCTCTTAATTTCTACCATCTGCATATTGTTTATGGATTAAAATTATTTATGGAGTCTCTTTTCAAAATTACAGTTACTTACAGCAGCTACCACTATTCTTTGGACTAGACTTGAAATTTAGACTTTTGTTTTGCAGTGGAGAGGTCCTTCCTGGAGCCTAATGATGTGGACCAAGAGAACAGAGTACGGTCCCTGAGCTTTTGTACCCAACACTAGCACTCTACCACTTCGAGCCACAGTGCCACTCTTATTTTTCTGGTGGTTAACCTGAAAGAAGAGTCTAAAAGACTTCCTACCCCAGCTGGCTTTGAACCACGATCCTCAGATCTCAGCTTCCTGAGTAGCTAGGATTAGAGGTGTGAGCCCCCGGTGCCTAGCTCAAGCTTCTCTATTTGGTGAAGAGACTGCAGGAGACCCAGCTCTTGGTTGAAATCACATTGTACTCACCAACATCAGACATTTCCGGGACAGTGGCTGTGTAAACGTCCTTGGTGAATATTGGCTCATTGTCGTTGATGTCATGGATTTTGATGATGAACTCAGACTCAGGCTCCACAGGTCTTCCTGTCCTTCTGTTAATAGCCTGAGCTCGAAGGATGTATACAGGCTTTTCCTCCCTGTCCAGCCTCCTGGTGGCCTGTATGTCGCCTGTGTTTTCATTGATAATGAAGAGATCTCCTGCTCCATCTCCTGAAAGGATATATTTAAGTGATCCATCGCCTCTATCCTGGTCTGAATGTAACTGGTGTAGGGAAAAAAATTAAAGAAAATAAAGGTCAAGCATGTGATAGTAAACTTCCTGTCTTCACCATGTGTATTGTATTCATTTTCATTCAATCCCTCTTACGACATGCAGATTTTTACTTTTTGCTATCCTATAAAACTCTTCCATAGTAAAACATATTTATTAATGACCAGGCTTCTTTACAACCAGTGTTTTGCAGTAAATTTAGCAGTCATTAAAAAAAAAGTCTTTGAATAGTGTACAAAGGAGTTTCAACTCAACAATTTATAATGACAATGCATCTTGATCAATGTCACCTGGAGGCAGGAATGCTGAAGGTCAGAGCAATAGTAAGACCTCCAGGACACAGACACTTGCCTACTGATCTTCAGTAGACTTTCCGGACTGCTCACACTTTCTCCTTTTCATATAATACATATAATTCAAGTGATAGACTACTGTAGAAGGACTGGTTTTCTAATCACAGAGATGTGGGGGTCTATTTTTTCTCTTGAAAAATTTAGGCACAAGTTAGGCAATCATCGTGATGTCTGGTGATACTTCTGGGAAGTATCTGGGAAGTCTGATACTTCTTTTGGGAAGATGTGATGTTCATTTACTTGTGAGCTTCAGCTCAAAGCATGTAACATGCAGTCTTAGATCCACCATGAACAGTGTTGTGTAATCCCTCTTTCTAGACAACATACAGCATCAGCTTAAAAAAAGATACTTAATATTCAGATTTCCATAGACAATAAGAAAAAAAACCCTTCCAATATGTGAAGCCAATCTAAACTACATGTACCTGATGAAGCAGTGAACTCTCTGCCAGGTGACCAAGCAGCACTCTGATGATTCCTTGTCAGGGAACTAGGTCTGAGTCAACGGTTGAACTAAGCAAATACTAAGATACTGTACAAGTGGAAGATGATGCTTCTAACTTGAAAAACTGGTCCACATACCCTTATCCTAAAGATCATTTCTACAGTCTTCAGTTACTGTTGTTTCCCCAATTCTATTTCGATTTCTCTTTCAACAAAGAATTAGATTTTCAGATACTCTTCAAATTAAAAAAAGTGCTGTGTAAAAGCATTTAGAATCCTGTGTTACACACATGAGTGACATATAGACAAGGTAGTAGTGTGAAAGCTGCCATCCATGTAAGCAGAGGAACTATGTCACAACAACTACCTGTTGTGTTCTCTCTCTCTCTCTCTCTCTTTCTCTCTCTCTCTCTGGCTGGTTACTGGAGCTGGGGCCTGGGATCTGTCCCTTAACCTTTTTGGCTCAAGGATGGCATTCTACCACTTGAGCTACAGTTCCACTTCTAGCTATTTGGTAGTTAAATGAAGATAAGCAGCTCAAAGATTTTTCCAGTCTGGGCTGGCTTCATACCAAGCTAGGATTACAGGTATGAGCTACCAACACTTGGTAATGTGTTCTCTTGATTATTTATGAAATGTTTCTGTATAGTATCTACAAACTAGTTTGAAAATAGATTCCCAGGGCAAAAAGGGACTTAGAAAACTATATAACCAATCTTGGTAAAAGTATTTACCATGGACCATCTTTTACTGAAGTTACAAAGGGTAAGGGTCCTGGGGTTCAATAAATTCAGGAAAAACATAGTACTCAACCTCATTGTTTGGAGTCATCTATTAACATATTAAAGAAAATGCCTGCATGCACTTTGAAACTCTAGTTGATTTGTTTAGGCTTCTGGAACTTTCTTGTTTGATGCATCTTTTTTTTTTTTTTTGGTATGACTCTTATGGGTAGGCCCCTTGACTAGTTTTCTGAGAGATTCTTGATGATCGAGTCAAAATACTAGAGGTTCTGGTATACATAGTTTCCATCATCAGCTCATAGGACAGGCCTGCCTACAAACTCTAATCTTAGAAGATGCCCTGGAGAGTATGCAGTGCAACTTTTTCCTTTTGGAGATAGTTGGATCCAATGCCACAGAGCTACAGCTAATTGAGGAGTTTGAGAATGAGAATATTATTCATACAATTAGTAGCTTTGGAAGCAATTTGGCAGAAATAATGGAAGACAAATGTGAACAGGGAGGAAATTGCTTAGAAGTGAGACAAACGCCATAAGAAATGTAAAACAAGGGCCCTGGGTAATTTGTGTAATGTGATGTGCTAAGGAACCGTTGAAACTCAGATGACACAGAAAAAGTCACCAGGGAAGGTTTAACTCTCCATTGTCAGATCCTAATGACTGAAAAGTGCTTTTAAAAAGCCATTTCATTAACTCTTGAGTAAAGCAAGTGAAGTCTCTGCCCTTTGGATGGCTGCCTCAGGGAAGCGGTGTGGTCCAGTAACCTGGGAAGGTGCAAGGCCTACTACACACAAGTCGCAAGCATGGGTCATGACCATTTTCTTTCTCTCACCAACTGTAAGACCACCACATGGCCAATTAGCTTCTCCAAACCATAATTCGTATAAGTAAAAGGAGGAAAATAAGATCCATAGGACTGTAGAGCTATTGTGAAGATCTAATTAGAGACCATATACAAATACCACATTAATTGGCACATACACTTTCTGTAAAAGTGTGCTATGTTGTTTTGTAAACTATAAAGCCCCGTTCTAGATAGTGCCGCTATCCATAGCTTTTAGTTCACTCTCAGCATACTTTTGCTCTTATTTTGACTTTGAAAACTTTATTTTGAAGACTCAGAAAACCCAATTTTATAAACACGATATCTCTGAGGTAAAATCTGTTATCAAAAGCGAGTATTCTTCTGCCTGGTGGCAAGTGCTGTCTTTACATATGATTTATTGTATTCTGCATCCCACTAGATTATAGACTCTCCTTGGCCTGTTCTTTCATCATTTTCAATATGTAATTGTTGCACACTTAGTAGGTGAAGACCACATCTGGTCACAAGATTTATTCAGGTAAAAGTAATCAGAAACTTATTTTTTGCTGTCAAGAGAGACCATTTGGATGACTTATAGAACAAACACCAGAGACGATATAAAGGCACAGAGGAGAAGCCACAAAAGGGAGTGAACAGGGATTGCGTGGCAGATACCAATTCTGATTTATCAATATTTGAAAACTAGTTGGAAAATGCATCTCTTTATTCAGGCATTGTCTGATAAGGAAACAATTTAACCTTCTCCCCTCTTCTCCCCAAAGGATGCTATCTGGGTTTGACTGAGTGCATGCAACAGAAACCTCCTGTGATTTTCTCCCCACTTCCTCCCCCCCCTTTTTTTTCTCTCAACTCTCTAGAGGCCAATTCTTTTGTCTATTCTTGGGGAAAAGAGGAAACAGACTTGAGTGTCTGTGCAAGCAGGGGCGACAACCAGACATTAGGGGTTTATTAAGCACTTAGATTTTAATTGGATTTTTTTCTTTTGTGATGTCATTCGTCACAGCCACTGTAAAAGACAGAAGTTAAACAACAACAAATAAAAGGTTGTAGGCTGCCTGAGGCATGTTTTTACTAATTTCAGTTTAATGTGGCTGTTCCATTAAGTTTAATCATCTGGCTCATTTTTAATGATTCACCATCAAGTAAAAATTATCCACTCTTTTCACCCCCAAAAAGTCACATCTCACCTGTGGCTCTTTTTGTTATAATGCCTGTGTCTCATTCTGAGTCAGAAAGGAGCTTTGGGACTGGTATTTTCTTCTGTCTCTTTTTTTTCTCTTGTCTAATAAATAAAGGCATTTGCATTTACTGGCATGATCCCCTGGAGTATGTCACCGGTCAGTGACAGCGTCTTGGCCTGTGTCCCTGGAGACATAGCATCCCTTTTACCTGGCACATGTACTAACCCTCCCAATGTAATTTTGAAACAAATTTAATGTGCAACATTAATTGTATAGAATTTTAGTGGTCTGTGAAGCTAGTTAATGGTGTTGTGTTACTCCTATTTCCTGTGCCACTGACCCACGGTCCTTGTCAGTGCCCAAGCTGAATCTTCTGCGCATGGAGACAAAACACGGAGTCTAAGCAAGAGCTTACAGATGACACAAGGAGGTCCTTAGAACAGCCAGCAAAGAGCTTGGAGAGAAAATATGTCATGTTTGCCTGAAACAAAACAGTGAATTATAGCCAATATGTTCATAGGGTAAGGTACAAATGTATCATGGTGTTGTAAGAAATGAATAATTCTTATCTGAGATATTCTACAACCATGGGTGAATAGTGGTGGTGAAAAGATGGTATCTGACTGGGATTGAGGTGGGGAAATAGATCTAAATCAGAGTGAAACACCATGGTGGCAAACAGGTTGACTTTCATCTTAAATTACAGAGTAAGTCAGAGATCAAGTTATGCCACATAAAGAATTATTTGGATTTTAACAAATTGTTTAACTAGGGATACAGGTGGATCCATTGCAACAATGAGAAGTACAAGTCGTTATGTTGAAAACGAACTTTACAACTTTGGGGGGGGAGGGCCAAGTGGGGGGGCGCGAGAGGATGTGAAGGGGAAACAAAGGAGGAGGCTACAATGCTTGATAAGAAATGTACTCATTATCTTGCCCATGTAATTGTAACCCCTCTGTACAGTATTTTCACAATAAAAAAAAGAATTATTTGGCTTTTAATATACTTATAAGTGTCCATAAATACTTAAGCATTTTTCTGTAAAACTCGTGCCTATATATACTATCAGGTCATGGGGGCTGGGAAGAAATTGAGCTCTGTTTGAAGTACAGGGCATGGATTAGCAACTGATTCTGTTTTAGAGATTATGGATTAGGTGAATATTTTTAATAAAGTCTTGTATTACAAAATGAGTGATACTAATCATATATGTCATATTCATAAACTGCTTTGTTAAACGGCAACTCCTTTGTACCACTTAAAGATAATAATGGTAATAATACAAAGTAAAAAAGTAGCATAAAGAAGTCAAATGAGGAGCTGGGAAGTTGGCTCAGTGGTAGAGTGCTTGCCTTGCATGCATGAGGCCCTGGGTTCGATCCCTCAGCACCACATAAGCAGAAAGGAAAAAAAAAGCTGGAAGTAGCGCTGTAGCTCAAGTGGTAGAG